TGGGGTCTTCAATTTGGGGAGAAAAAAAAACAGTGGTCCTTTTTTTTAAAATTTTTTTTAAATTTATTTATTTATGATAGTCACAGAGAGAGAGAGAGAGAGAGAGGCAGAGACATAGGCAGAGGGAGAAGCAGGCTCCATGCACCGGGAGCCCGATATGGGATTCGATCCCGGGTCTCCAGGATCGCGCCCTGAGCCAAAGGCAGGCGCCAAACCGCTGCGCCACCCAGGGATCCCTCTTTTTTTAATTTTTTTTTTTTAATTTATAAAAACAGTGGTCCTTAAACATTGAGATCACTTGGGGAGTTTTAAAAAAATACTGATGTCTGGGTCTTGCTTCCAGAGATTGTGAGGTAATGAGCTTAGAGTGTGCAGGCTACGTTGAGATCCTTTGTAGATAGACGTGTAAGAAGCGTCTGGAGCATAGGGGAGAGGATTAGTTGGCCTGGGACCATAGGATGTGAAGGCTTTGAGCTTAAGGTTCAAAAGATGAATAGGAGTTTCCCAGGCACACAAATCTGGAAAGTCATCTTGGGAAATGGTACGTGTGAAGGTCCAAAAGAAGGAAGAAAGCATGGCATTTTGAGAGCATTACCCTCAATGGGTACTGCTGGCATGTTACTTGTAATGGGACAGGTTGGGGGAGATGAGTCAAGAAGATATTAAGTCCAGGCTTTTAAAAGGTAGTCAGTGGAGGGGTGTTAAATTTTGAGCAAGATGAGATCTGGAAAAAATGGGAAATCACTTGTCTAAATAATCAAATCCCCAGCCTGCTTTTATACAGGTTTCACTCTCAAATGAAGGAGAGAAAGTCCTGTAAAAACTGTGTCTTGTACAGCAACAAAGGCCAGTAGAGAGGGTTTCTCTCTATATTACTTAATTCTGCTGGTTTGAAAATGTGCCAGTTATATGGGCACAGATCTCATGAGAGCCCAGAGATTTGTGGGAAGCATGGAGTGTAGGCTACAATAGAGAGGGACATTGACCCAGGGAGCCTTAAATACAACAGGTAGGGGAGTGGTAGTGACATTTCTGATCTGCTCATTGACAAAACTGTTAAAATATCTACCCTCGAGTGATGAACTTCTCCAGGGGACTCTAACAGGTTTCCTAATCCTTGGTCCCAAGGGAAGACCATTTTATTTTTTCAATTTTTTAAAAAAATATTTTATTTATTTATTTGCGAGAGAGACAGCGAGAGCATGAGCAGGGCAGGGGCAGAGGGAGAGGGAGAAGCAGACTCCCTCCGAGTGAGGAGCCTGAGGCAGGGGCTCAATCCCAGGACCCCGACATCATGACCTGAGCCCAAGTCAGATGCTCAACTGACTGAGCCACCCAGGCACCCGAGGGGGCAAAAAAAAACATTTTAAGGTATTTGACGGTCATCCTGTGCCCTTGCTGGCTGGTTAGCGTGAACATGCAGATTTAAAAGTTTTTAGGAGCTGACTGTGATGGTTACCCCAAAAGCTTGTGTGGCATGACCAGGGTCATGGAGGTGAAAGAATAAAGGGAACAAATTCAGGATGGTCCTGCCTCTAGGGAGGGGGCCATGTCCCATCACGGTCACTTTCGTAGAGGCAGATGAATGGAGAGCATATTTAAGGATGGCCTTGCTTCTAAATTGGAGTCCACCATTGTCATGGTCACTCTTGAGCTGAACAGAGAAGAGAATTACACCCACAGCATTTGCTAAATAGGGACAAAGAAAACTATTGTGCGGGGATCCCTGGGTGGCTCAGCAGTTTAGCCCCTGCCTTCTGCCCTGGAGTGTGCGTGATCCTGGAGACCCGGGATCGAGTCACGCATCGGGCTCCCTGCATGGAGCCTGCTTCTCCCTCTGCCTGTGTCTCTGCCTCTCTCTGTGTCTCTATGTCTCTCATCAATCAATAAAATCTTTTAAAAAAAAGAAAATCATCGTGCAGTGCACCTACTCTCTCTGGCCCCTTTTGAACCCAGCAAATAGATTTGTTTTATATCACACAGGCAGTACCTTGAAGTTAGTAAATCAGAATGCTCAGACTTTTTCTGTCACTTTAACAGCTTTGAAAACAGTGAATATATTACTCTTCTCATTTTTCTTCCTAAGCCTCGACTTTTAAAATTGCAATCAATACAAGAAAAAAAAATCACATTTAAATCAGGGTGGAAAGATTAGAACGGGAGAGGAGATTACACCATAGCCTCACATGAGCTCTGGTTGACCCTCCGCTGCGACCCTCAGTGACAGGACTTGGCCACGCGTGCAGGGCTCCAGCGCACCCAATGCTATTCTGCGGTGGCTATTCTTTCTTTCTTCTTCTTCTTCTTTTTTAATTTATTTGAGAGAGAGAGAGAGAGAGAGAGAGAGAGAGAGAGAGAGAGAGGAGGGAGAGGGAGAGAATGAGCAATGGGGAGGGGCAGAGAGAGAAGCAGGCCCTCTGCTGAGCAGGGAGCCTGGTGGGAGGCTCGATCCCAGCACCCCGGCATCATGACCTGAGCCAAAGGCAGACACTTAACTGACTGAGCCACCCAGGTGCCCCAACACATATGCTTCTGAATTAAAGCATTACAAACAAGAGCTCCCTGGGTTCTTTTCTTTCAAGATTTTAATTTATTTATTTTTGAGAGAAAGAGGAAGCAGATGTGAGCAGGGAGAGGGGCAGAGGGGAAGAGAAAATCTCAAGCAGACTCTGAGAGGAACTTGGAGCCTGATGCAGGGCTCCATCTCCAGACCCTGAGATCATGACCCGAGCCAAAACCAAGAGTCGGATGCCTAACCGACTGAGCCACCCGAGAGCTGCCCGAGTTCTACTAGCAATTGTACTTTCAAAGATTTTTTAAAAATTCATTTATTCACGAGAGACCCAGAGAGAGAGGCAGAGACACAGGCAGAGGGAGAAGCAGGTTCCCTGTGGGGAGTCCGATGTGGGACTCGATCCCAGGACCCCAGGATCTCGCCCTGAGCTGAAGGCAGGCACTTAACTGCTGAGCCACCCAGGCGCCCCTGGGCTGCTCTTTCAAAGGCAATACCTGCAGGCTGGAAAACAGTCTCTCTTACATAACAACGAATCCATATTCAACTACACTGCAAATTACTTCTAAATCATACGGTTGCTATTTACCAAGGTTTTCAAGTATTTGGCAATGTGACTTTGACAAAGAGCTCGTGCTGGGTATTTTTCTTTTTTTCCCCTTCCAGCCTCAAGGTAAACTCTTGTTCCTGATCACGAATGTGTTTCAAAGTGTTCAGAGCTGGGAATAATCCAGTTTGTGGTACATATGTGTGTGTAGAAGAAAACGAACTGGGATCAAGGATAGAATCATCCACATTAATTTTTATTTTATTTTATTTATTTATTTTTTTCACATTGAATTTTAAATCTCAAGAATGTTCCAGAGAGAATAGAGAAACTCACATGTGCTCTCATGGGTCCAGGGGGTACATAGTCCTTTTGTAGACCAACCACCTTTCTAATGGGTCGGAATTGTCACGAGGTACCTTCCAACTCTCATGTGATGGACAGAAGAAATAAAAAGCCAGGGTCGCTTGGGGGGCCCAGCGTTTGAGTGGCTCCCTTCGGCTCAGTTCCTGGGATGGAGACCCATGTCGGGCTCCCTGCGTGGAGCCTGCTTCTCCCTCTGCCTGTGTCTCTGCCTCTCTCTGTGGGTCTCTCATGGATAAATAAGCAAATCTTTAAAAAATAATAATAAATAAATAGCCAAACTGCTGTACCTGAAGGCCATGTCGCCCTATCTTTAGCAAGGAGAGCAGAAACGAAACTTTCTTTCCACACCTAAGTGACGCCAGGTTTGATGTACCTGCTATCCTTAGCACACTCTGTTCCTTCTGCCGGCCTGCTCCTCTGTGCTTTTAGCTCTGAACCTCCTTCCTGAAAATGTGATTTTTATTTGTCTGCAGAAATAAAACCCTTTACCCTTGTTTTTTCCAGATTTTAATATCGAACGTGTTGGTTAGTTTTGTTACCCAATGAGGAAACACTAAGGAGGTCCTGGGGGCTGGGAAAGGTCACAGAGTCTGGAGACCAAGACCTAGTCCCTCGTGGTAGCACAGCAGCCCTGGCTGTGATGGAACAACAACTCTTCTATTTGTACTTATGCCACACCTCTGAACACACACACACACACACATGTACACAATACCTTCTGATAAAAAGTTGCATGTGTACAATAGCAGAAAACAAAAATTGTAGGGATGCCTGGGGAGCTCAGCAGTTGAGCATCTGCCTTCATCCCAGGGCATGGTCCCGGGGTCCTGGGATGAGTCCCACATCGGGCTCCCCACAGGGAACCTGCTTCTCCCTCTGCCTGTGTCTCTGCCTCTCTCTCTGGGTCTCTCGTGAATAAATGAATTTTTAAAAAATCTTTGAAAGTACAATTGCTAGTAGAACTCGGGCAGCTCTCGGGTGGCTCAGTCGGTTAGGCATCCGACTCTTGGTTTTGGCTCGGGTCATGATCTCAGGGTCTGGAGATGGAGCCCTGCATCAGGCTCCAAGTTCCTCTCAGAGTCTGCTTGAGATTTTCTCTTCCCCTCTGCCCCTCTCCCTGCTCACATCTGCTTCCTCTTTCTCTCAAAAATAAATAAATTAAAATCTTGAAAAAAAAGAACCCAGGGAGCTCTTGTTTGTAATGCTTTAATTCAGAAGCATATGTGTTGGGGCACCTGGGTGGCTCAGTCAGTTAAGTGTCTGCCTTTGGCTCGGGTCATGATGCCGGGGTGCTGGGATCGAGCCTCCCACCAGGCTCCCTGCTCAGCAGAGGGCCTGCTTCTCTCTCTGCCCCTCCCCATTGCTCATTCTCTCCCTCTCCCTCCTCTCTCTCTCTCTCTAAAATAAATAAATAATTTTTTTTAAAGAAGCATTTATTGGAATATATGCTAAGTGAAATGTATTGAAATATTTTGCTAAATGAATTTTAGTATAAGCAGTTTTCTTTGTAACTCCATGCATTTTGGCATTTTGCTTATGCATTGAAATGCTTACTCTGGACAAGGTCCTGTGGATTTTGTCAGACCACTGTTGGACATCGTAGTACAGAAAAATATTCAAACGCTGACTCCAGAGAGGTCTTCACATGGTACAGAACTTTCTGATGATCTCACTTGATACAAGTACAGGCTTGGAAGATCTAGAAGGGAGATAAGATAGCATGTCTCTTAAATTGTAAACCTCTTTCTGCTAAAAAAAAAAATAATAATAAAAATAAAATAAAATCCCATGATTTTGAGTATTTGCTAAAGTTACAAAGAGCAATCAGAGAGCAAGATTCATGGGGCCCGATGCCTTGCCTTTTTTTTTTTTTCAAAGATGTTATTTATTTATTCATGAGAGACACACAGAGGCAGAGACACAGGCACAGGGAGAAGCAGGCTCCCTGCGGGGAGCCCAAGGCGGGACTCGATTCTGGGACCCCAGGATCACAAAGGCAGATGTTCAACCACTGAGCCACCTAGGCGTCCCCCTACATCCTGCTTTTTATTTTTTTTTTTTAATTTTTTTTTTATTTATTTACGATAGTCATACAGAGAGAGAGAAAGGCAGAGACACAGGCAGAGGGAGAAGCAGGCTCCATGCACTGGGAGCCCTACGTGGGATTCGATCCCGGGTCTCCAGGATCACGCCCTGAGCCAAAGGCAGGCGCCAAACCGCTGCGCCACCCAGGGATCCCTACATCCTGCTTTTTAAATCGTATCCTATTCACTGAGTGAATAAAACTTGAACAATTTACTTTGCCTGTGTGAGTATGGCCTTTGCCATCTTGAAATAATTTCTGTCTGAATTAAGGCATTAAAGGGCAATCAATCAGCTGAACAATGGGAGACTGGCCCCAGAGTGGGCCAGGTCCTGATGTTATTTGTTATATTTTAATATCATACATTGTATGTCATCTCGGGCCTCCTGCTGTCCCTGTAATCCTCTCAAGTATCCCTCAGCTACGCTCTGGTGCCCAGTTGGAAGGCCGGAATGTACCATGGCTCCTGGTTACAGGCCCTCTTCCCACGGAACCGCCTCGGACTGCTCTACCCCAACATCTGCTGAAGACAGACTTCCAGTTCTTCACTCTCTTATCACTGAGCATTTTTCCAGCAGCAGACATTATTTATCTCTCAAAGTATTATAATCCTGGCTCTAACCTATTTGATATTTTTGCAGGAAATATTTAAGTATCTTTTTATTAAAGCATAACACACATAGGGGGAAAGTGTACACGTTAGACGTGGAAACTTGAGTTTTTGCAAAGTGAACATACCTGTGTAAACAGTACCCAGATGGAGAAACTCAGCATCACCCATACCCCAGGAGCTCTCTCGTGACCCCTTCCCGGCCCTATGCCCCCACCCCCAACCCCACCAACAGCAACTACAAGGCTGACTTCTAACAGCCCAGATTAGGTTTTTTTCCCCCTGTTTTTTCATACTCTACAGAAATGAAACCATCAAGTATTGCATTTGTGTCTGGCTTCTTTCTTTCAACACTGTTTGTGAGATTCAGGTTACTGGAAAATTTTAAACTCGAAAGTTTAATTCTTGTTTATCCCTCTTGAAGGTTAGTGTATGGTGTGGGGAAAAGAACAAAAATATTTCTTTTAGAAAAGTTGACTCTCAGGGGACCTAAGAATCCAGCCCTCGTAGTTTGGATAGTACTGTTTTTCACTTGTTCTGTGCTTTCTTTTTCTTAGAAATTGAGCTTTGATTATCATTCTGTTTCCTGTCCAGAGTCAGCGTTGAGTACAATGAAGCTGTGGCCTCGGGTATATTGGACACCTCGCACAGAAATTGTACCTGAATTCTGGAAAGCAATTAGAAGGTAGAGCTTGCTGCCCCGCAAAGCCACCCAGAGCATCGTAGCTGCACATCTAAAGTGAGCCAGGCGCTACTGCATTATTACGTATTTAAAATCCTTTCTTGACTCCTAACTCTGGGAAAGGAACTAGGGGTGGTGGAAGGGGAGGTGGGCGGGGGGTGGGGGTGACTGGGTGGTGGGCACTGATGGGGACACTTGATGGGATGAGCACTGGGTGTTATTCTATATGTTGGCAAATTGAACACCAATAAAAAATAAATATAAAAATGATAAAAATAATAAAATCCTTTCTCATAGCTGCTTCTCTGTGTTACATGCCTTACAACGTCGATGAGCAGAACCAACACGGGGCAGTGGGAAGAAAGCTGAGCAAAAGGGATAAAAGACTCCTATTCTGTTCCAAACGTGGGCTCATCCAGTTGGGTCACACTGAGTCTTTGAGCCACACTTGCCCTCATCTCTCAGGCTTGCAGGAAAGAATGAGACCACGTGTAAGAAGGCTTCACAGACTGTACTGGGCCACAGGGTTGCGAGCTGCCCCACGTCACTGCACCCTCTCATCCACACTTGCTGTTCCTATTCACAGGAGATCTGATTCCTTCTTTCTGCTCAGCACTTCTTTTCCATGACCTTCTCCCTGCTCAGTGCCTCATTTTCCTTTCCTACCTGTTCTTCGATGCCTACCTCCAAGTCTGACATGGTCGTGAAGTTTCTGCCATATGTGTGCCAATTGCTTTCTCTCTCTTCTTTGGACTCCTTTTATCCTCATGAATAATGTTCCCTCTTTGTTTTCTTTTCTCAAATAGAAAAAAATACACACACACACACACACACAAGATATATATATGCACATATATATACACACACATATGTAATTTTTTTTGGTGGGTCTGCTAGCTTAAAAAGGACATGGCAGGCATTTCACACATAGTGTTCATTGCTTGTAATTATTTAAAAAGAAGGGACAAAATCAATGGTGCACTGGCAAAAGCCCTGCTTTTTGCATTTGCTGATTTCCATGGTGTAAATACTTCCATCGTGGCCGATGTCAAGCTACCAGCCTGTCATCAATCAACTCACACAATTCCTGAATTTTTAAGAATTAGATCTTATGGGCCAGTGTGAGCTGGCTCCAGCACCCCACTTGACAAAATGCTATAAATAAGAAGTCGCTTCTAAATAAACATCATAACCTTCTTCCTGAGTCATAAGAAAATCTGGTATTCAAGTTTGTCAAAGTCATTCTGGTGCTTCCTAGTCTCCCAAGAGAAGGTTGGAGTTGAACATTTTTCAAGAATAGATTAACATGGACAGATGCTACAAGCCAATGCCTAATCTCTCAGAAGCATCTTGCTCTGTCTGTCGAGTGTGGCCAACGCCACAAAGTGATTCATCTGTATCATGTGTGTGACTCGGTGTCACCTTAATTAGAAATGCCACTCTTCTAACCATAGAACTGCGCTTCAATTTTAATTTGAAAAATGAAAATGTTCCCACAGCGGAAAATGTATTTCCAACATGTTGAAGCTTTGAGTAGAAGGCTCTCAATTGGTGAGGTGCAGGATTTTGGTCTTGAAGCTGTAGGAAACTCTTGAGAGCTCCAGGGCGGCAGGGGAAGGAGGCCAGGGCACCAGGGAGACTTCCTAAAGAGAAACATACCAGAAAGCAACCAAAGGCCCTATACATTCCTTGAGTGTTTTGAGAGATTTAGAACTAAAGTCTCAACAAAAAGCTTAAAATCATACAGTAATCGTCTGCTTGGCAGAAAAACACAGTTTCTTAAAAAACCATATGAAGTTCATTTTTAACAATCCATGTCTCTGTAGAGAAAGCAATCTGGTTTAGTGAGGTCAGATTCTTCTAAGCATCAAATAAGATTCATCAAGATATGATAAATTTGGACTTTTTACCTAGCCTGAGCCAGATCTTTGGAAATTTACTATCTCTGGGTCACAAGGAAAGAGCGAGGTGAAATGCACATGAGCAGACGTACAAAGGCCATATGAAGGAATAATTGAACTACGCTATGCTAGCTGAGCCCTGATCCTTTGTTTTCTGAGACAGAACTAGGAACTGACCTACATACCAATCATTTATTTTCTTTTTCTCTTGAATTAAAAATGAGTTCACTGTACAAAAGTGGCTGGTTTCCACGGGGTGGGGGGTGGATCAAGGGAATGATACAAATGGTTTGCATTCAAAGGGCCTCTGTAAACAATGAAAAGCAATTCTCTGGAACTGTAGAACTTAAAATAAATAAAGCATGTGGGCATTTTGGGTGGAAATCATAGGGGTTTGAGATGTTGAAGTCCCAGCTCACAGTAGTTCAAAATCTGACCTTATTTAGAAATAGGATCATTGTAGATGTAATTACTGAAGATGATGTCATACTCAAAAATCTTCAACAAAATACCAGCAAACCCAATTTAAGAGCACATCAAAAGGATTATTCACCATGACCAAGTGGGATCTATTCTGGAATATAAGAGTGGTTCAGCATATGAGAATTCATCAGTATAACATGACACATTGATAGAATGTGAAACAAAAACCACATGATCATTTCAATTAATGCAGGACAAGCATTTGACAAGATCCAACACCTTTTCACGATAAACAAACAAACAAACAAACAAACACCCAACATACCAGGAGTAGAAGGAAACTACCCCCACATAATGAAAACCACATATGGGGGACTTGGGTGGCTCAGTGGTTGAGCATCTGCCTTCAGCCCAGGGCATGATCCTGGGGTCCTGGGATCAAGTCCCGCATTGGGCTCCTGCAGCCTGCTTCTCCCTCTGCCTGTGTCTCTGCCTCTCTCTCTCTCTGTGTGTGTGTCTCTCATGAATAAATAAATAAAATCTCTAAAATAAATAAATACATACATACATACAAACCACATATGAAAACCCCAATAGCAAACATCATACTCAGTAGTAAAAGATGAAAAATCTCCTCTAAGATCATGAGCACAATAAGAATGCTCTCTCTTGCCACTTTAGTTCAACATAGTATTGGAAGTCCCAGACAAACCGAATAGATAAGAAAAAAAAAAAAAAAAGAAAAGGGATTCAAATTAGGAAGAAGTAAAATTATCTTTGCAGAGGACATGAGCTTATATGGGAAAACTCGAAAGAACCCCACAGAAAAGTGTTAGAACTAATAAATGATTTAGCAAAGTTGCAGGAAACAAAGTGAATGTGCTAAAATCAATTGTGGCTCTACGCATTGGCAGTGACCAATCTGAAAAGAAAATTTAAAAAATATTTACAGCAGCATCAAAAAGAATAAAATACTTAGGAAAAAACCTAAGCAAGGAGG